AGTGTGTAATAAAATGTCATATATATATATATATATATATATATATATATATATATATAATTACCTTTGTTATTCCAATTGCCCCAATGTTTTCGCTGTATGACGTCGTCCCATTACCCGTACCCCACAAGCCTGCTAAAACACAACCAATGCCTTCCATTCCGATGCCGCGGTTGATAGCGTGGTCGGGTGGTGGTGGCGCACCAGATAGACGAGCACAAGCATAGTAATCACCAACAGATTCGACCATTGATGCTAGAACACCAGACAACATGCCAAAGACGCCGGCTACAGTAACCATAGGAGCTCCCCATTGACCTGTTACAGTTCGAAAAAATGTATAAAAGTGATACTGTATTACAACTCACAGCTATTAAATGTTTTGTTGAGGCCAGATAGTCGAAAATTGCAGTCAGTGCATGCGCAATGAATAAATCAGATTGCGTTATTTAGGGGCAGGAATATTCACGTCCTACAATAATTCTGCTTTTATTCATTCATCAAAAAAACATATTTGATATAAAATAGACATCGAACATGACAAAGAAGAACAACACCAACAAGGGACAAAAGTACAGTATAAAAAAAAAAGATATTGCGTCTCTTAAAAGCATAATTAACAAACTTAATAACAAGAAGCAGAATATCAAAATCATGGGCACCAACTAAAAAGACAAATTTATCATTACAAAAATCAGAATAAAATGAACATTTTATAAGAAAATGAAATTCATCCTCAAACTCTGTTAAAAAGAGGAGTAACTGGAGAGGTAAGTCGCACCTTCTCAATCATGAGGGAGTGAGCACTTGTTCTAAGTTTAGTAGAGTTGCAACGCATATCGATATCAAAGAAATTACAATAATTTTCATTGGTAAATTTGTTTTTAAAAAGAAAATATGCCCGCTTTTTAGACAGGTTATTAGTGATATAATTTAGCAAACCAGAACAAAAGTCATCATGTAATTTGTCAATAATATTACCCTTTAGCTGAGAGCACTAAGTGAGTTGGGTTTAGTCCAAACATTTAACAAATTACAATAATTAAATAAAGAATGAATACCTGATGACCAAGTGAATACAGGATTATTCTGATACAGGTCACTTGCGGTTATCAAGCATTGAGTTAACAACAAGAGACATATACCCTTTCCTACATTTTTCTTGAGATCATACCAATATTTAGCAGAAAGACTAAGAATTTTAAATAAAATAGGAAAACTACCAAGTTTGCCAAGAACCGCGTTGTTTGTAGTCATTTTGTTAACACCTACAATATTTTTGCACATTTAAACATGTAACAGTTGACCAATGAAGCTTGACCCAATAGTATGAAGATTATTATGTTTCAAATTTTTTTTAAAGATATGGTGACCTAACTTCATTAGCATAGTGACAAATACTACAAACATGCATGTTTATGTACAATTACACTGTCGTTTTTATGGGACATACGCGTAACAGAAGTGTTGCGGAGTAACCTATCAAAGTCAAAGTCAATACCCAAGGCATAGTGGAACGGTCCATTTTTAATACACTCGAATAAAATGAAGATATTATGATGTAGGATGCGAAATATAATACCGTAACGAGAATATGTAGCTATCAATTTATCAATAATCAAATATCAATATAAATCAATTAGTCCCCTAGGCCCCTACTTGACCCTGGGAAGGTTACATGGGCTTTAGTTTTAAGGACACCTTCCTGGAAAGAATTGCACAAGTGTTTACCCCTCTGTTGCCTTTACAATGAGTAAATGTGACCCGGATGTTATAATCACTAACCAATTAAAAAGATTACCCGATATTGAAATATTACAGCACTTCCATAATTCCAGATATCCGGAAATGACGTAGGGTCCATAAGGTCCTTGTGGGCTGAAGTCCTTGATATCATTTAAACCCGTTTTGAATAGCAAGACAAAAGACTGCAGGAATTGATCATTGTTATTCTATTGTTGACCGGATACATTGACATTGAATACGGATAGATTCGGTACAATACCGCGGTAACCACAGGAATGCCAAACTATAGAATATACTGTAAAGTATACAATTGAAAGCATGTACACTTTGAAAAATAGCGTTTGGACTATAATGTAAAAAATATATTGGCCTACTCCAACTGTCTCCGGTAAAATCTGGCAAAAATATCAAAAATAAATTAAAACTTAATAAAAATGACCGAAAAAGTTATCAAAACAATTGAAATTTTGCTGATTTAGATGTTTGTTGCCTCACAAATATTTACATTGATTAACAGTAATTTTAAAGATCTGTTAAAAGAACAAATAATGAATTGTATCAACTATGTGTTTGCTAATTGGCAAGAAAACATATTTTCTCGTTCAGACATTCAAGCTCATGGTAACCTAAATAGATTATTAAATTACGCAATAATAATTCAGTCAATCAACCAATTATATCCATCAATCTAAAGGCCAACTCAGACAGCGTCGGCCGACGCAGCCCAACGTGATTTATCGTCGGGGACAGTCTTAAGCCGTCGTGAGAAATATTAAACACGTTTAATATTCTACTACGCGACTGCCCCCGACGCACACCATCGCGTCTGCGTTCAACTCACACAGACCCGACGCGACAACAAATCGCGTCGGGCTGCGTCGGCCGACGCTGTCTGAGTTGGCCTTAAAACTCCTTGATTTTCTTAAAGGGATAAATGAAAGTTAGGCCTATTGTTTGAACAGAGTTACATTACGTACCGTGCGTTGTTATATTAATTTTATCGACAAAATCAATGTCATGAATATTCAAGCGTTACGATAAATCTTCACATTATATTTGGATGAGGACTGGAATTTTGTAATATAATAAAATTAAGGTACAACTTTTTATTATTATTATTATTATTATTAGAAACAGTAAAATTTTACCGAAGCTCATTGTTCTACGGTTCTCACAAATGTCCTAATTTTGATCTTATTTTTTTAAAAACTTTTCAAACACAGAAAATTATTATTGTACAGCAGTATATTACTGTACTGTAGTATAGGGGTATTACATATCCACACCAACTACAGATATACTTGTTGGTTTTTCATTTTGTTTAAAATAAGAAGTCATTTCACAATTTACTTCAGCCTCAATTTGTTCTTAATTTTTAAGCAATTAGCCTCAGTGTTCTTATAAAAAAAGGAGTACTGGATAATGAATAAATTCCAATAAGCCATTTCGTAGTCTGAACTGCGCATGCCCATATCAACAATCGACATAACCATACACCACATAGGCCTCCACACAACGCAGGTTTATGTGGATTGACCTTGGATACTGGCATGCAGTGGAAACCTAAGACTTACCAGGATACGGGAATCGAAACCAGGCCGCCTGCTTTAGGACTTCGGTGTTCAGATCTGTCCGCGCTCCATAACCGTATTGCGTTGAATTCGTTGGAAATACATCGGCAGCCGTGAATATAGCAGATAAAATCCAGGATATTATTATAGCTATTATAATCTAAAGAGAACGAACTATATGTTATTACCATAACATCGTTTTTATTATCACCACCCCCACCATCATCATTATCACCATAATCTTCCTCACCATATCCATCACCATCTTATCGTCATCATTGTCATCATCATCATCATCACAACATGCACCATTATTTTGCGTTACCGGTATTATGTCATTATGCGTCATTATATGTCATTTAAACGTCATTTAGTATAATTACATGTCATTTCGCAATTCGTCATTATGCGTTATTTTTTTTAAATTAAATTCTATTAATCACATCCCAATCAAAACCTACAGGAAATAACTTAAATATCGGGTACTTGGTAATGTGGCATCCGTTGCTGGAAGTGTAACCAGGTGTTGGAACGTTGATGTTTTTTAAGTACTGCGAGAACATGACAACGAGTAATATAGTTCTGCGAGAATGATATATGTAATAAAATTAAGCATTAAAACATTCATTGTAATACGCACTTTCACTGTCAGTTTCAAAGTTAGAAATATAGGCCTATTTGTTATCACAATCATGATTATCATATTGATTATGATCATTATCAAGTTCATTATCATCATAATCATTATCCAATAATCATTATTATCAACATCATTCATCATCATCTTCATCATCATCATCATCATCATCATCATCATTATCCAATAATCATCATCAACGACATCATTCATGACCATTACCACCAACGTCATTATTTTAATAATGTTAATTATAACTTTAATATAATATTTTTCGTGTTTTTATTGTTGATTAGACAAGTTTCTGTTTTTGTTTCTTTCTTTCCCGGGGTTTTTTTCCAATAAATAAATAAATAATTATAATAATAAGAATAATTTATATATAATATTTATCTTTATATATATATATATATATATATATATATATTTCTATCTAGTTTTATATTTCTATTTTTGTTAAACTTCAATTTGTAATTTATCATTCGTAATTTGCAGATTGCTATTAAAGAGTATTTGTATTTAGATTTGTATCACAATCATCATTAACACCATCATCATCATCATCATCATCGTCCTCACCATCATCATCATCCTCCTCTCTATCATCATAATCATTATGATTATCATCAACATAATCATCATCATCATCATCATCATTATCATCATCATCATTATCATCATCATCATCATCATCATATCATTCATCATCATCAACCTATAATGTGCATAAACCTCGTATCGCACAGCGTTGGTGGTCAATTATGTTCACTTTAAAAAATTAACGGTTGTGAATATCATCATCGATACATTTATTATTATTGTTTATTTAATATTTGCTTTTAAAAGGCTATACAGTACTTACAACACTGACATTCCCCAATGTACGCCAGCCCGGGAAGCCGCGACACTAAATAGAGACAAACCCACAAGACCGATCGTCGGTGCGATAGCCAACGGTCCAATAAATTTTAACATAAATCCCATAATTCCACTAAATCCAATTATGACCTGGAAGCAAGAGGCAACGACTATGGCTCCCTGAATCTAAACAAACGCAGAACAAAACAAAAATCACAATATAAATTTAGTTGCATTTCATAAATGTCTACTAATATTATAAAAATATACGATAAAAATAAATATCATAAATTAGGCCTATATAAGGCGCTATATAAATTAACACATTGCATTATATTAAAATAACTGAACAAATTACAACATAGATCTGTGCTTTTTTTCGTTCAAATATATATTTTCCCATGAGTTTTGTACTGGGGTGATTGGGGCCAACTGTTGGACGGAAGTTCTGTATAGTCAATACGGTAAGCTATAGCTGATAAGCTTTTTTATATACTTGTCAATACCTGTTGTTAGATCGCCTACTTCGCCACGCCACAGATTTTCTTTTAACCTTACAACCAATACAGACTGTTCAATACCCATGCAATTATTTTTATTTCAAAAGACAACATTATAGCCTAACAGTTTTTCATTTTAATACAATCAATCTTAAAAGGTATTCAAATTGAGTAACTGAACTTTTTTTACTTACTCAATATTTACATTGTACATTAAACTTATGACCTTATGCAAAGGTAATGACACCTTGGTGGGGTCAAAGGTCAAATCACCATGGTAACCTGAATATACTAGTGCAAATGGGACAGGGCATGTTCTTTTCTCAATAATGTTAAATTTTGAAAATACATTTAGATATCACTTCATTAGTTATATAGCACGTAACTCCCAAATATAGTACATAATCACTTGACGTTAATAATAACTACACCTGTGGTGGGTATACAATAATTCATCAAAATTGAATAAAATCTAATTCATCCACTCTCTTTGGTATTGTTAAAAAAATATTAACATAAAGTTAATCACATACATTGTTAAATAAAATGTTTTTGCAACTATGTATGAGTACCAGTAGATTGATCTGGATCATGAACGAGAGCTCGTCTATTGAACCAACTGAGGACAGTAACATAACCCTAATATAGTACACATAACCCCAAAACCAATAAGCTTTCGATAACTTACTTCACGCATGCGCTCTTGCCAAACATCTGTGGCATCAGCAAGCTGAGCCTCCGTTGCGTTAGCTAAACATGAAATAAGAAAAGTAAGAAACGAATCAATTCAAATACACATGCAAATTAGACATTTAATGTTTCTTTTATATACACAAATGTAAACGATTTAAATATTATTAAGTCTGTACTGAGCCAAAACAAAACTTGTAACGTTCCTATACTTTTCACACGATTCATTGCTGGTGATTTGTTCAAGGGTTTCAGTAGTAAAATGTCAGCTTCATCAGTAGTATCATCACTGAAATTGGTAATCAGTGGGGCCAGCGTCCTCGTTGAGAGTTTCAAGGGCTCCAGCAGTGACCCACCTCATCCCCGTCATGCTGGGGCAAATTTTAAGGCACCTCTGATTCCTAAAAGTGGTACTTTAATACCGTAATAATGCATTTTCAAAGCACTGTTCTCCGACGAAATGACGGAAATGGGGTCCAGGTCTTTCCAACCTGTTTTCTGTGTCCCCTGACACCGGGGGCGCGGTTTAGATGACAGATTAATTTTTGACACTTGAAACGAGGGAACGTTCTCTCTACTCCAATGACTTTTATATATACTCGATACTTTGACCACTTACAAGGTGGAGGAGCAGGACAATCTCCCTGCAGACTCAATATAGCAAATGTGGGAGTTAAAAACGCGAATGTTCCTCCTTGGATAATTGGCAGTCTGTAAAGTAAAACATAAAAAATGTAGTTCATTTTACGTATAAATAAGAATTCAAATTTCAAGACTACATCAGATGATTTGGTGCCTGCATTAGAGTGTGAAATGAAATACATCCAATCACATTCGGTCAATAAAAGTCCATGTGGCCCATTTTGGTAAAGGCTTCTGCCAATAGAACAGGAGACCCGGATTCAATTCCATTTATATATATTGTAATTCCATACTTTGAATATTATATATATATATATATATATATATATGTATATATATATATGCTTGATATGTATTGTAATATATATATACGCTTGATATGTATTGTATTGCCATGTTGGACGGCTGTTATCCTCAGTTTGTCAATAACTAACTATATATATATATATATATATGCCTATATATATAATGTATATATAAAAAAATTGTGAGGAGAACGGAGATTAATAGTCGTTCCCACATTATGCCAACAGTATAGTAAACAGATAGTGTATTGACCAAAATTCAAAATAAAAACAGATATATACAAATAAACCCCGGGAACTTAGTATAAATTTGTCTTATTTTATTAGAGAAGTTAAACTTTTCGGTCAAAGGTTATTGTGAGCATAGTAGTTTTCTATTACTATAAGCATAACGTTGCTAAAATACAAACCGATATTATTATTCACGGTTCATTGTAAAAATCAAAAACAGGACACAGGAAGTTCATATTAAAGTAGGCTATTCCTTCTCTGGTATATTTCTTTTATTATTAAATGCATACTGTTACAACAATGTGTACATGAAATGACATGCAAATTGCGTGATTAGGTTCTGCAAATTACAGAATAACTTACTTTTACTAGATTTTTGTAAGCCTACCTGACGCCAAATGTGGTTTGGAGCAAAGTAACGAGACCTGACACAAAGATGATCGTCCCAATCAGCTCACTGGTGGCTACCAGGTCATTGCCGATACACAATGCAGGAGCCAGGATCAAAGGTATTGTCACGCAGCCCCCAAACATCGTCAGGAAATGCTGTTTAGAAGAAAAACAGTTTTATAATATGAACAATTACTTCGTCAGTTCTAATGTAAATTATCTTTATAAAATAGGCCTCTAACGGATGTATAAGAGATCAAAGGTATACCGTATGGATCTCTGTAGGCCTAATTATCAATGTTAAAATCTCGGCCTAACAGGGGCGAAGCCAGAATTTTTTTTTTCCGGGGAAACAATGTGAGTCCACACCGTCCTCAGCCGCACCATGGTTGGTGCTGATGTGTGCAAACTTCAAGAAAAGGCACTTCTATAGATTCCCAGAAATGACACTGCCTGACGATAAAATTGCCTTTTCAAACCAGTGCTCACAAAATTAGGCTTCTTACCAACCGGAGTTATGATCCACTTTCCTAGACACCCCTCCCCTCACGAGCGCCGTGAAGGACTAATTGAGGGACTTAGTCTATTTTGTGCTGGGAGGCGCAAAGCTCTAAATTTAGAGCCCCATAGTCAGAGAGGAAGATTTGTGAGAGGTGTACCCAGGAGGCCTGGATTTGAACATGTATTTTTAAAGGTTTAGGCCTAATAAGAGACAACAATAGGCCTATAGAGAAAAAGCACCAATTTTCAAGCTCCTAAAATAATGGCTGGAAATAGCGTCATAATTCTCCATCTTTTGACCTTTTTTGTTATCCTGACTTGTGAAATCGTTGGACTAAATCGGATATAGCGTGATATAGTGTCGTGTTCGTCGTTAATCAATAGAAAATTCTAAATTAGCGGTAAAAATAATCGAGTGCCTCTTTCGCCCACTGCTGGATCTGCCACTGAACTCATGGGTGCACTTCCTTTTTTTTCCCTTTTTCCTCGTGCCCCCTCCCCCGGCTGAATATTCCCTTGGACTTCAATGCAATAGAGTTTTCGTTGATCCAGACTTTTTACAACAAACGAAGTCTTATTGATTACCAAACCAGTATTATAAAAATGACAGCCGTCTCTAAAGATAAAAATATTTTCTGTTCTAACTTTCAATTAAAAGCTAATACATCATCTTACGTATACATAATTGGCATAGATCTACACAGCATTAAAATACTACATTAATTTTATTAGCAGGATTTTTCGGCCAGGCCTGGGCTTTATAATGATGCTTCTATTGCAACTCATTGATATATTGACGAAATGTGGTTTACTTGGTCGTACAAATTATCTTTTATCGTACTTGAACTTTTAAATGAATAATTCAAAATTCAACAGGTAAACAATTACTGCTTTTATCATAATGTGTACATAATGTGTACAACCGTAAAATGGAACTGTCATCGCCTTTGCCCAGTAGGTCTGTGCACCTATTTTTATTCCATTATACAAACATTGCTGCACTGGCAAGTTCAATTAATGATTTAGACTGATAAACTACAGTCAACAGCGAATTGCCATTCTCAACTTTATTGTCACCTTATAGCCTGTTTGTTTAATGATTTACTGCAGCTTTTGGCCCGTAACCATGGTGTTTATATAGTTCGGACGAACCACTCGAGCGAACCATTGCATGGACTTGAACCTATAACAGGTCTACCGTTAGGCTCATCATAAGCGCGCTCTATATTAAAAGTGGTGTGTTTAAAAAACACGTAGGCCTAGTCCTATTTTTTTTGTAATTTGGATTTATAAATCTAAAGCCACGAGCTGCCTTTTGGTTGCCAAGCCAAATGTTATGAGATAACTTTTTCTGACCTTTGAATTTAGGTTGAAAGTCTTCCTTGTATTTTCATATGTTGTTTCGCTTAGAAACCCTCCAATTGGTTTGATAGATAATAAACATACCTGAAAAGCCAATATGATGGTCGTGTACCATGGCGGCCAATCGTCGATTTTGTATGTGATGTCATCATTGTCTTCTATCAACTGATCAAAGGATTTAGCCGATTTTGATTTGGTCATCGATACTCCATTAGAGTTCGCCAACTGTGGGAAAACCTAGAATGGATTAACAGCGTCACGATTAAGAAAGCGGATGGAATGAAATGAAATGGTGGCGGAGAATAAGCAAGCGTGGACGGTTTT